AAGCGGAATATGAGTTGCTGTTCCTGCAACTTTCGGGTGGCATCGTTGTGGCACTGCAGGAGGCCCAGGATGGACATGTCGTCTGAGGAATGGGAGGGGGAGTTGAAATGGTTCGCGACTGGGAGGTGCAGTTGTTTATTGCGAACCGAGCGTAGGTGTTCTGCAAAGCGGTCCCCGAGCCTCCGCTTGGTTTCCCCGATGTAGAGGAAGCCACACCGGGTACAGCGGATGCAGTATACCACATTAGCAGATGTGCAGGTGAACATCTGCTTGATGTGGAAAGTCTTCTTGGGGCCTGGGATGGGGGTGAGGGAGGAGGTATGGGGGCAGGTGTAGCACTTCCTGTGGTTGCAGGGAAAAGTGCCGGGTGTGGTGGAGCTGGAGGGGAGTGTGGAGCGGACAAGGGAGTCACGGAGAGAGTGGTCCCTATATACCAGTTAGTTTGACCTCTGTAGTGGGGTCATTGTTGGAGTCAAAGGAGGAGATAACTGAACACTTGGAAAAACAAAGTCCAATTCACCAGCATCAGCACAGTTTCATGAAGGCAAGTCATGTTTGACAAACTTGAAGTTCTTTGAGGATGTAACCAGCAAGGTGGATAAGAGGGATCCTGTGGATGTGGTATATCTTAACTTCCAGAAGGCATCTGACAAGGTGCCGCATAAAAGACTGATCTAGAAGGTTAGATCCCAGGGAGTTAGACAGAATTGGCTGACTGATAGAAAGCTAAGGGTCAGGATAAATGGGTCCTGCTCTGGATGGCAAACTGTAACAAGGGGGATGCCGCAGGGATCTGTTCTTGGACCTCAACTGTTTACAATCTATATAAATGATCTGAAAGCAGGGACAGAGTGTATCATAGCAAAGTTTGTGCATGATACTAAACTAGGTGGGAAAGCAGGCTATGACGAGAAGATAAACAGTTCACAAATGAATATTGATAGACTCGGAGAATGGGCCAGAATTTGGCAGGTGAAGTTTAAAGTGGATAAGTGAGAGGTTGTCCATTTTAGCCAGATAAATAAAAGGCTAATTATTATTTAAATGGGAAGCAGATTCAAAAAGTGCATCACAGCAGAGGGATCTGGGTGTCTTTTTGCATGAATCACAAAGTGGGTATGCAGGTGCAGCATGTAATAAGAAAGGCAAATGGAATCTTGGCATTTATTGCAGAAGGGATGGATTATAAAAGTAAAGAAATATCGTAACAATTATAGAAGGCATTGGTGAGACCACATCTGGAATACAGTGTCCAGTTTTGGTCTCCTTACTAGAGGATGTAGTAGCACTGGAAGCAGTTCAGAGGTGGTTTGCCAGGTTGATTCCAGGATTGAAGAGGTTATCGTATAAGGAGCAGTTGACTAGCTTGGCCTTCTGCTCGGAGTTCAGAAGAATAAGGTGTGTCGTGGCGGGGGGGGTGAAATTGGATTGAGGTATACAAAATGCTAAAGGGGATTGATAAGGCGGACATTGAACAGATGATCCCCTTGTGGGACAGTCTCGAACAAGACATCATAGATATAGAGTGAGGGGAGGTCGGTTCAAAACCAAGATGAAGAGGAACTACTTCTCTCAGGGGGTTGTGAATCTGTGGAACTTACTGCCCCACAGTGCAGTGGAGGCAGAGTCAAATCAACATATTCAAGAAAGAAACAGATAAGTTTCTGATGAAAAGCAGAATAAAGGGCTATGGGGAGCAGGTAGGAGAGCGGAGTTGACACCAGGATAAGATCAGTCATGATCATGTTAAATGGCGAAGTGGGATCGAAAAACTGAATTGCTTTTTCCTGCTCCTAACTCCCATGTTCCTAAGTATGTTCCTCAGCAGTCATGTCAATTGTAGTCCACTCAGGAGTGGAGGTGTTGATGTTTTGGGACTTACTTTTCCTTGGGAGGGGAGTGGATAGTGCCTGCTGCCGAATAATTGGAGGAATTATGATGATTCACGTCGAAATCAAAAGATTTGTTCTTGTCTCATTGCTCCCTTTGTTTTATCAAGGATTGGCACCCAAAATTTTTGAGGGCGAGGGAAGAAGCGAAATCACTTCTATGCTGAAGAGAAGGCCTTAGCATCATTCTCCCAACAGATGGATTGCATCCCAAACATGTGAACAGAATAACAAAACTCCCTCCCACATGCCCCAACATCCTTCCTGGACTACCTACATAGTTTTCAAGTACTCCCCCACTCCTCTTCTTGCCGTGGCCCCAGGCAAAATGATACCCATGCAAAAATCTGAATTTGTTTTTGGAAATCTAGGGATAGAAATATGGAACTCCCACTAAACAAAGTAGCTGTTGAAAATTTCCTGTTAGCTACCCAGAAGGGGAACAACACAGAATCACAGAACTGTTAGGGTGCAGAGGGAGACCATTTGGCCCACTGTGCCTGCAGCAGTCCCATTACCTAGTGCCAATCTCCATATCCCTGTACACCATTTCTATCCAAATAATCATCCAATGCCCCTCTTGAATGCCTCAATCAAACCTGCCTCCACCACATTTCCAGGCAGTGCTTTCCATACAGTGACTACTCGGTGGGTAGTCACGGCACGGTGGCTCAGTGGTTAGCACTGCTGCCTCACAGCACCAGGGCCCCGGGTTTGATCCTGCCCTTGGGCGACTGTCTGTGTGGAGTTTGCGGAGTTCTCCCTGTGTCTGCGTGGGTTTCCTCCCACAGTCCAAAGATATGCAGGCTAGGTGGATTGGCCATGCTAAATTGCCCATAGTGTTCAGGGATGTGTAGATTAGATGGGTTATAGGGGGATGGGTCTGGGTGGGATGCTCCGAGGGTCGGTGTGAACTTGTTGGGCCGAAGGGCCTGTTTCCACACTGTAGGGATTCTATGATCTGATCTGGGTAAAGAAGTTTTTTCTCACATCACCCTTGCTTCATCACTTTAAATCTATGCCCTCTTATTTATTTTTCCTTTTGTGAGCAGGACCAGCTTCTACCTATCTACTCTATTCAGCCTGCTTGTGATTTTGAAAACACAAATTTACCAACGTACAGTCTCAGAAACATCATGCTTGCAAGTCAAGTGTGAAAGAGCAGAAAATCTCAAAGCCCCAACTCCACGTGGGTCCCAATGCATTAACAACCAAATGGGCCTTTTACTCACCAAAATGGGTAAATGCCAAGCCTACTGGAGACGAAGACAAAACCAAATATCACAAATAATGAGTCACAAAGTCTTTGATACTTGGCATAATTCGCTAATTTAGCAGCCTGCAAGGGAAAACAGCAAAATAGCTATTAGCAAACTAAGACAGAGCGTGTGAAAAGAGATGTGAAATTAAGGTGCTCAGAAAACTTGTCAATGAAAAAAATCAATCCAGTTTCTCCAACTGCTGAATAACGTTACACTTGGTACAGTTGCAATTAATGTAAAACCCTAGATTGCAATAGAGTTCTGTGTTAATTAACCCTCTGAATTCCACTCCATAAGAGCTTTGACTTAGTTGAAAAGTAGGATAACGTGGGGGAGTAGAAGAGAAGGAGAGGGCGGGCGAGAGGCAACCTGCCTTTAATATTATCAT